AGGCTCAACAAGGATCATGGTTGGCCCAACAAGGATCATGGTAGGCCCAACAAGGACCATGGTTGGCCCAATAAGGATCATGGTTGGCCCAACAAGGATCATGGCAAGCCCAACAAGGATCTTGGTTGGCTCAACGAGGATCATGGTTATCTGGTACCGAAAAGGGGCCCATCTAAATTAAGAAGCGCCCATAACCCAAACGAAATCCAAGCAAATCCGAAATTAAAGAATAATTTTTGGGCTAATTAAAATCTCCGTTCTGATTTTTATGCTCTTCTGAAATTCCTAAAATCATGGGAGCTGCTAGCTTGAGTCTAAAGCTAGTGGTAACTACCTACAAATACAACTTCGCAAACTTGGAACCCAACGAAATTTATACAATATTAAAGTCTAACTAAAGGCTCTAAAAACTTTTCCAGCTTTCATTTTACCAAAATCAGGACTGCCCAAAGAGAAACATGAACATGCGTTCCTATGGGACAAGACAAGTCACAAACTTCAGACAAAATATGAAACAATATACCACATTAAAGTTTAATACACTGAAGAACAAAAAAATGATACAGCCATTTATATTGAAATAAAGAGATCTGGAACCAATCAGAATACGGCGTTCCGGTCGGCAACGACTATATAAGACAATCACAGTCCGACACAATTGTTAGATCGGATACTGCTGCTACAATGGCACTCTATCACGATGTAAGTGAGATTGAACGTGGTGTTATTGACGGCGTAAGAGAGGTGGGGAACAGCATATTCGAGGTCGCGATGAAATTTGGATATTACTGTACGACCATTTCACGAGTGTATCGTGAATATCGGGAATTCGCCAAAACATCAATCCTTCGGCATCGCTGCTTCCGCAAAAAGATAGTGTAAGACCGAGAGCGACGACGACTGAGGAGAATCATTCCACGTGACAGAAGTGCAACCCTTCTCTACATTGCTGCAGATTTCAATACTGGGCCATCACCAAGTGTCAGCACACGAACCATTCAAAGAGATATAATCGGTATGAAGGTTCGGAGACGAAATCCCACCCATGTACCCTAGATAACCGCACGACACAAAGATTTAAGCATCGCCTGGTCTGTTTTTGATTGGAAACATGTTGCCTCGTCTGACGAGTCTCGTTTAACATTGTTTCGAACAAATGGACGTGTCCGAGTATGGCGACAACCTCATGAATCCATGAGACATGCATGTCAAAACGGGACTGTTCACGCCGGTGGAGTTCTATGATGGTATGGAGCGTGTGCAGTTGTGATATGGGTGGGACCTCTAATACATCTAGATTCGACTCTGACAAGTGACACGCTCGTAAACATCCTGTCTGATCACCTGCATCCATTCACGTCCATTGTGCATCTCGACAATGGACATGAACGGGCAATGCGACAGTCCACACGTCCAGAATTGCTACAGAGTGGCTCCGAGAACACTATTCTGAATTTAAACACTTCCACTGACCACCAAAACCCCCAGACATGAACGTTATTGAGCATATCTGGGATGCCTTGCAAAGTGCTGTTCAGAAGATATCTCCACCCCCTCGTATTCGTATTGTGGACAGCCCTGCAGGATTCATTGTGTCAATTACCTCCAGCACTACTTCAGACATTCGTCGAGTCCATGCCACGTCGTGTCGCGACACTTATGCGTGCTCGCGGGGCCCCTACACTATATTAGGAAGGTGTGCCAGTTTTTTGGCTCTTCAGTGTAAAACGCTTTAAGGAAAAAATTTCCAGCCTTTATTTTTAAAAAAATATACACAAAACATAAACATATAAAAAAATTTGAAACACTTCCCAAAATTAGAGATTCCCAAAGGCTCTAGGAAAAAAATACAGGCATTATATTCGAAAAAAGTTCACGATTTTATTTAAAGGACTAAATGCAAAAAAAAAAATCAATTCATTCAACACTGCCGTTGTAGTATATTATACCCCGAAATATATTTGAATAATCTAAAATCACAAAAGTTCGGAGTTGAAAGCGTAAACAAGGTCCATGACAGTTAAGTATTATTCCGTTCTTAGAAGAATTTAAAGAAAAAATATGGAACCACCGAAATTTAAAGGAATCTTCAAAATCTTTGAGTCCAGCCATTGAAATACCGTTTTGAATCACTGTATTTTCGGAACATTTTTCTGATTACAAGTTTATTTTTTGCTAACTTACATTTTGTTTTCCTCAGAACTAATTCACACACCAAATGCACGTCTATGACCAACGGTCGCGTCGCTGATAACAGCATTTGACTTAAACCCACGATATAAAGTAAGAATGGTTCTAAATCACAACGAATAATACCTTATAGCACCCTTGGCATGTGGCTTAATGGCACCCTTATCATGAAGTTACACCACAACTGTTTGTCACTGATTTCCGGAAATCGCAATAAAGAATTCGTCGAATGTGTGTTGATGACAATCGGCATATCCTCGACCACTGACGGGTTAATCTCAATCTTCTGAATGTTACGAAAGACGGGACGTCGTCATGACACTGCTATGCAGAAACGAAAAGTCTCGCAGCACAACCTAATTGAGCATAGGCCGTGGTGGGTTTTTACTTTCTCGTTGCCGCTTACGCAGTAGGCAGAAAGTTATGTAATGCTGCGCAAATATATAAAACGGTGAATTTCCGGCAGAAAAAAATCTATTACAGGGCCCTGGTAACTGAAAAGTGGATAAATCCTGTCACTAAATTCAGAAAAAATATCCTCTAACATATGGTTGGCTAATCCATATTTTGTGGGCCTTGATACCGAAAAGTATTATGACGGCAAAACGCGTCTGTCTGGTCGGCTGTGAACAACGCTAGCGGATAAACCGATCAACCGATTTTCTCAGAAACTGACATTCCCTCTATTGATCTCACTGACGTCCAGGATTGAATTTGAAACCTAATTTTAAAATTGGGGGGTACTTTACACGAAGCCCTTGGGACATTTTCAAAATTAAAAAAAATATTTTTTTTTTGATGGATAGAGTGAAGAGTAGCGTTTAGGAGATTCGTGCAGGTGTTATGTTCGTTGGAAGCCTTAATGTTTCGAAAATTGCAAAAGTTCAACTTATTTCCGGAGTCTTCCTTCGACTAAAATATTAAACATAGAGATTGTTTTATCTTAATGGAATATGTTCCTTAAATACACATTTGAAAATAAGGTGATGTACAACATTTTCGAAAATTTGAATTGACTGAGATATGTTAATTCGGAGAGAAATAAATAGTATTAATTACGCATTACTAAGTGCGAGAAAGTAAGTGTTGTTGTAGCACCTCACTGAAATGCCTCGTCCTACACATACTTAATGAGCCATGACTGTCAATGGGGGTGCAGGGAGGGGGCGGGGCAGGGGGCGCCCTTACTTGAGCTGGAAGTGCGCGATCTCGTGCCCGTCCAGCTGGATGAAGGTGTTGTTCTT